GCTCTTGAAATTTTCATGGATTCTTCTTTTGTCTCTCTTTTTTTTTTCTGCCTTACCACAGCTCATCCATTCTACTGTGCCTGCAGTCTGCATAGTGACTGACAGAGACAGACCATGAAAACGCTATAATCAGATAACAGAATCGCAAGACTGGACTGCAGTCACTCACAGATACATGCTTGGGATTTATATTTAGCTATAATGCCAGTGCAGTTTGCAATTTAGGATGGGCATACCTGATCCATCTTTAAATTAGCTAATCCTCTTAAGGCAAAATTTCTAGTCATTCTAACACTGTGATTGGCACAAAGTAATTTAATTTTTGCCATCATGATGAAACGGTTTCCACTGCGCCAGCAGTGTATGTGTGTGTAGATTACTTTGTAGGCACATCCACTATCTACTTATGAATCCTATTTTTCTTTTGTGAACGTGGCTTTATGTGCTAACCTTTATGCATGGCTAGCAAAATGCAAACCTTTAAGGGAGAAACAGAGAGTATAACAGTTAAGAATTCATTGCATAGCAAGAATATGACACCTAGTGGATACACGACATTGAGGAAACGTGACAGTCCCATCAAGCAATATTGACATTAAATGACCCTGTCCAGTAGAAAAATTAATTTGATACCAGAAAAGACATTGATCTCGAATTACTCTTTTCCTGGGCCAAAGTAATTGGATAATGGCAAGCCCCCACTGAAAACTCATAAATGTAAGAGGTGTCAGCGATAGTTTTAAAAACATTTTCTGTAAACTACTAGCAGACTGAAGATCTCAGGCCAAGAAGGCCAGAGGGCCCCTAAAATAAAGAGCCCAAAGCCCAATGAAGACATTGCGGATATTCGAAAAGATGCATCCAACATGCAAAGCACAAGAATAGTGTCTAAAAAAACCCTTTTGTTAAACCCAGTTCTTTGTTGTTGTCATGTTGTTTCTTCAGGAATTGAGAGTTTTCACAGCTGGAGATGCTCAGAGGTGAATAACTATTCAGTGAGGCCACTGGAAACTGGACAAGACTGAAACACAGTTAAAGAAGTCTGACTAATACATTCTGCCCAAACTATCTGATACAGATGGTGTCTGTCTTCTACTCCCCACTGTAGTCTGTAGTACCTGAATTTCAAGCATTCACATATCTCCATTTTCCAGGGTGCCCTGGACCCTTACTGCTTCATTGTCTATAAATAATAGAAAAACTTATCACCAGAAACTGATATTTTATACTGGCTACCAAACACAAATCAAGCTTCTTGCTGTAAAATTTACATACGAAAATCTGCATTTATTTCCAAATGTATTGAAAGGCTTGAAAAGGCTTCCTCAAGCCCAGCAGCGGCTTTGCTGGCCAGCTCCTTCGCCTGTCACCACTGCTCTGCAGTCACATTTCTCGCTTCCCAGCTACCAATGGATGTGTGGAACTATATTCTCTACAAAAGTCTTGGTATCAAAATGCAAAAATGTCCTCTTTTGCCTGTACAAAACAATGCTTGGAAATAAAACTGACTCAGCTGAAGTGAGGGCAGAAGCTCCAGCAGGAGGTTTTGGCTGTGTCCAGGGAAGGACAGGAGTGTGCCCAGGTGGCCAAGGCAGCCAATGGCATCCTGGCCTGTATCAGGAACAGTGTGATCAGCAGGAGCAGGGAAGTGATTCTTCCCCTGTACTGGGCACTGGTGAGGCTGCACCTCGAGTACTGTGTCCAGTTCTGGGCCCCTCAGTTCAGGAAAGATATTGAGGTGCTAGAGCAGTCCAGAGAAGGGCTACAAAGCTGGTGAAGGGTCTGGAGCACAATGCCTATGGAGAGCAGCTGAGGGAACTGGGGTTGTTTAGCCTGAAGAAAAGGAATCTCAGGGGAGACCTTATCACTCTCTGCAACTATCTGAAAGGAGTTTGTAGCAATGTGGGGGTCAGTCTCTTCTCCCAGGCAGCCAGTGATAGGACAAGGTTTATATTGGATATAAGGAAGAATTTCTTCACAGAAACGGTGATTAGATGAGCTGCCAAGGGAGGTGGTGGAATCACTGTCCCTGGAGGTATTCAAGAAACAAGCACTTAGTGCTATGGTCTAGTTGACATGGTGGTGTTTGGTCAGAGCTTGGACATGATGTTCTCAAGAGGTCTTTTCCAACTTAATTGATTCTGTGATTCTGTGACAGGAGACAGCACAGGGAGAGAAAGGTGAAAATAAACAAGAGGATGACATGAGAGCTCGTGGTCTATTCGAGTGTTGATACAACATTGACCTAATAACATTTTGGACGCATCATGGTGCAAGGAGTGGTCGGTCAGACAGGGGCCGGGCCGGGATGGTTTGAAATGGAATGGGATGGGCCCCGTGTGAGGGGCGCGGCCAGCGGCAGCCGGCGGGCGGTGCCACGCTGGGCCGGCCCGGCGCCGCTCCCGGCCGGGCCCGGTGCCTGGGGCCGCCGTCAGCCTCCCGCCCCTCCCCTGCCCTCCCCGCCCTGGCCTGCGGATGTGGAGCCGGCACCGGCGGTGAGTGGGGAGCGGGCGGCGGTCGCCCAGCGGGAAGGGGCCCTCACTGCCTGCGCCGCCGCGAGGGGAGGAGCCTTCCCCCTTCCCGCCCCTCCGGCCGCGGCGCGGAGCGGAGCCAGCGCGGAGTTGGCCCCCGCCGCGGCACCTGTGACACCCCCAGTCCTTGCCCCGCCGCCTGGCGGCGTTCACGGGCGCGACGGGGATGACGGGCCTGGGTGCCGGCCCGTTCTCCCGGGCAGCGGGCGGGGTGGCGGCGCAGGGCGGCGGCCGCTGGCGGAGCGCGGCCGGGCAGGAAGAAGGCAGGGAGGGAGTGAGTCACCGGCCGCGCTGGCAGCGGGGACGGCCGGGTGTCTGTCCCCACTGGGCGTTCCGGTTCCTATAAAAGGAGAGCGAGGCGCAGACTGGCGGCGGGAGGGAGTCGTGATGGGCCGCCTCACAGTGAGCCTGCCCCGGCCGTGCAGTGAGCCTGCCCCGGCCGTGCGGTGAGCCTGCCCCGGCCGTGCGGTGAGCCTGCCCCGGCCGTGCGGTGAGCCTGCCCCGGCCGTGCGGTGAGCCTGCCCCGGCCGTGCGGTGAGCCTGCCCCGGCTCTGCACGGAGCCCCTAGAAAGTTCCCGCTGCCCTGAGTTGACGTGGTGGTGTAATGGTGGTCACAGGTTGGACTCGATGGTCTCAGAGGTCTTTTCAAACATAACTGATTCTGTGACCGCCACCCAGCCGCTCCGTGACGGGCAGGGGGGCTGTGGGGCTTAGAGGGTCTTTTGGGTCTATTTCCCACGCTTCGGGGTCTGTCACAAGTTCACTGTGTATGTATGGAAGAAGAGGCCAAGTTACCTCCCGTAGGAGGGCCTTGGGCCTTGGGCAAGCTGTTTGGAAATCACAGGCACGATTTGGAAGAGTGCTTCAAATCTGTTCTAGTTTTCAGTAGTAATAAGCCTGAAAATAACGAATTTTACCGAAAGCCAAAAAATAACAAAGCAAACTGAAAGAGAGTGGGTTTAGACTGGACATTAGGAGGAAATTCTTTACTATGAGACTAGTGAGGCACTGGAACAGGTTGCCCAGAGAAGCTGTGGATGCCTCATCCCTGGAAGTGTTCAAAACCAGGTTGGATGGAGCTCTGAGCAACCTGGTCTAGTGGAATGTGTCTCTACTAACGGCAGGGGACTTGGAACCAGATGATCTTTAAGGTCCCTTCCAACCCAAACCATTCTGTGTTTCTGTGTTGATTCTATGGTTCTTAAATAGTCACTATGCCAAGCACAGTGATTCTGAATAGGAGCCAATAAATGAAGTTCACTGAGCAGCACACCTTTTATACACAGGTTTTTTTCAGAAAAGAACTGTTCTGCAAAGCTGTTTTCCTAAATAGTAATATTTGGTAAATAGCTAGTGCTTTTCATTCTTAAATTCTTTAGAAATTGCAGTATGCACAATGTGTCAGGCATTATCTTAAAAAACCCCAACAGCTGATTATGGATAGGGGTGCATTGAGGTGGAATGGCTTGTCAAAACAGTGTAGTCAGTCCTTGACAATCCCAGTTACAGTGCCTCATCCGTGATGGTGTTTTCCTTTGTCTGATTCACTCTGTTTGTGCAGATATGCATGTAAAATATTTTTAAATACTTATTAAGTGTATTTCTTTTAAAGATGTGTACTTGGGTTCAGAGCTGTAAATATGAGTGTTGCAGAATTGTGTGCATGTGAAAGGCAAGTGAAACTAACTGAAAACCCCATTGAAATTTTGCTTGAAAGCTTTTTTTTTGCCAGTCAAAAATGAATAGACTTTTTTATTATGATATGCATGTGTTTGCAGTATCACTGTATTTTGTAGGATAGTTTATATGAAATACTACAGACTGTGATTTCTCTTTGAATCACACAAATATAACTCATAAATGCTAAACTGCATCCTTACAGCAACTTGCTTCGAAATTAAGTAGGTTCACTCTTTGAACAGGAGGGGCAACTGCTTAAAGACAGCGGGTAAAATCCTTTCTTCAGTCAAGTTAATAGCAAAAAAACCCTCAAAACCCACCAAAACAAAATCATCAAATCTTCCCCTAACTTTTAAATTAGTAAATTAAGTCTGTGATAGGTTTTTTAGTGGCTTTTTATTTTTTTTTTTATATTTAGTAGGTTAGTTACCAGATTGTTTTATATCAATAGCTCTAAGTTGCTTTATGTAGCATGATATAATGATCTCTGTAGAATCTTTGTATAAAGTTTGTTAACAAGACTAAAGAGGAGTGGCTGGAGAAAAGGAGGCTCAGGGGAGACCTTATCACTCCCTACAACTACCTGACAGGAGGTTGTTGCAAGGTGTGGGTCTGTCCAGTGACAAGTGATAGGAGAAGAGAAAACGGCCTCAAGTTGTACCACTGGGTATTGCAAAAAATGTCTTCCCAGAAGGGGTTGCCGAGCATTGGAAAAGGCTTCTCAGGGAAGTGGTTGAGTCACCATCACTGTAGCAATTTAAAAGCTGTGTAGATGTGGCACTTGGGGACATGATTTAGTGGTGGACTTGGCAGTGCTGCATTAATGGTTGGAGTCAAAGGTCTTTTCCAACCTCAACAAGTCTGTGGTTCTATAAAGATCCACTTAGATAATTTGGACTTTTTAGACATAAAGCTGTGCTGATGCTCAGTGCTTTGCAGATGGACTTTGTCATAGAACACTTGGTTTATAGCTTTCAAAAAGTCATTTAAGTGCTTTGTTCTTAATTTGCCTATCTGTATGACAGGTGTCTTGCTCACCTACCCAGCATAATAAAGGTTTCCTTGGTATGGTTAAAGCTTTACAATATTAACTGAGAAAGTTCCTTCTTAAACTTATGATGTGTTTACATACTCTTACCATGAGAAGCTTATTGATTTTAGATATCTGTTTGACTGAGGTTCTGTTAATGTTTTCATTTGCTGACAAATACACTGTAGGAAATTGCAAGGTTGTTTTTGACAATATTTTCTCCCTATCGCAACAACATTTTTCCTACTCAGAGAGAAGGACATAAGTAAGCCACTGAGGACTAATAATGCCTTGACAACTGGAGAGGTTTCTCAAGCTGGTCTCAGTAGTAAGTCCACAAAAATGCACGCTTATGCCTTTGCTAAACACAGACACGTGTAACTCGCTGTAGTAAAGTTTTGTGGTTTTTAGGTTGGCGCAAAATATTTTTTAACACTTGCCTTTTATTCCGGTTTTGTACTTAGCAAGCTCGCAAGAGATGGTGCAGAAACCACAAAAGATGGCGGAAAGCTGGTCATTCTTGGATACTGTTGAGTCTAACTTCAGGCCTCTGGTAGTGATTGAACTTGCAAAAGGCACCAAAGAAGAAACCATAGAATGGTTCACTAAACGAATTGTAGACAAAAAAGCAGATGGAGGTGAGTACAGTATGATCTTCGGTAACAGTTTGAAAACAAATTGGCTGTCACCATGATATGAAGACTTACAGAAGGTTTGTTTTCTAGGAATTTGTGGTTTAATGATTGTTTGGCCAATCTCATTCTGTTTTGCATTTTTGAAGTTGCTTCATTTAGAATGAATAGAGCTGTCATGAAACTGTAATAACTGAACCCTCTTAACCCTGTTATTAATGAAAACACTGGCTTAAGATCAAATGCCAGTTGAATTCTAGAATTCTTCTGTTTTTTTCAGTGAAAGCCTGATAACCTGTCTCTCAAAGTAGTTTTTATGTCAGTTTTTATAGCAGTTGTCTAGAGCATGTTTCCCTTGTTGCTCATGGAAACATGGTAAGCCTTGCCAAAATGAAGACATCTCACATCCTGTTCATAAGACTTGGTACCATGCTACAGAATAAAGTTAAGTTAGGAGAAAGCAATTTAATCTTGTTGAATTCATGTTGGATTTTAGTTACATTCTTGGTAGCTTGTAGGGTTTTACAAAGACAATATTTCATCACTCATTTTAGTCCACTTCTGGCAGCTGAAGTTAGGCTAATTCATTTGTAATTTCTTGGGATGGTTTTGTTGTTTCTTTTTGTTTTGGGTTTTTGTTTGTTTGGGTTTTGTTTGGGTTTTGTTTGTTTGGGTTTTGTTGTTGTTTTTGTTTGTGGTTTTTGTTTTGTTTTGGGGTTTTTTTTATATTTTTTTGAGAGACATTATTTATGGCTGTTGTAGTTTATAGGTGATGGTCATTTATTCCTGTGGCTGTTGGATTTGTGACTACAAACTTGGTTTCAGGCCTCTGTTAAATAAATTAGGGATGTTTCTGTTTCAAAAGTCTAGTCTCCTTAAAACATGTGGGACTGTTTGCAGAAGCACTGGTTGCTTATGGGATGTGAACATTACGGGAGTAGATCCCAGTTGTCCCCATTGTTCCAGTTCCCTGTTTTGAGTGCTTCCCCAGAAACAGGGCTAAATCCAAGGATGGCCCTGCAATATTCTAAACACCACACATCAAGTGCTGTTGAAGCCTTAATTCTTTGTGCCCTTAAGAGGCATTTTCAGTGCTCCTGTTAAATAAGACTGTTGTGGTGGATGCTAAAACAGTAGGGCTTTTAGATGTAATTTTAATGTATTTTCTTACTTACTTTACCTTTCTTTACTTTAAAGGTGCACAACTGCTGATTAAACCATTGGTCACAGCAAATGGACATGAAAATATTTATTTAGTTGGAGCGTCCCACTTAAGGCTGTTGCTGGGAGCTGAAGCTGTGGGTTTGGTGAAGGAATGTAATGATAACTCAATGAGAACTTTTACGTACAGCAGTAGAAAAACTTTCAAAGATTTTGCAGGTAAACAGTTGTAGGGGTCTTTGTCATTGCAAAGTATGACTAAAGATTATAAGAATTACACTGCTAAATCTTTCACAGTCTTTATTCTATGGAAGGATGTCAGTGAACAGAAATAGGAAGACCAAGTCATGAATAAATACTCATTTTTAACTATGGAAATTCAGATCATATAATGATTTTTTTTTTTGTTCAAATGGCTTTTAATTTTTTGCTTGTGTTTTCCTTTATGCTTTTCAATGCTCCAAATAGTCTCTTATTTGTATGAAAGATTTTAATTGAAAATAAGACAAAATAGTTGATAAACATGATTTTATGATTAACAATCAATGTTGTAAATTAGCATAGCAATTTAATTTCTATGAGCCAGTTTTGAGGCTTATTATCTTATAATTAGCTGGAGAAAATAGAAACATTTTTCTCTATTACATGTACACATCAAACAATTAAACAATTAATTAGCACTAAAGAGCCATTTAGTGGGATTTGGGCATGATTAGGGAAATTGTTCCTTCTCCTCTTTTGTTTTAAGGAGGAACCAATACAGTAAGGTTTCTTTTCAAATGTGCTGCTTGTAAGGTATTTAACCCCCCTACAGTGGCAGAACTCATTTTGCTTTCCAGGTAAATACTGGAGTTCCAGCTTAGTCTTGCCAGTACTTTTCATGTGCCCGTTTGAGTGATGCCTTTCACCACGTTTTCAATATCAAGGTTATTGAGTCCGTCTGAAACAATAATAAAGCTGAAATTTTGTTGTTGGATGCCAGTTCTGTTCACTTCTGCTGCTGTGTGCAATAACTGTTGCAGTGTCTTTTCTTTTGTGACCTTGCTTTCCTGAAATTAGGAAGCCTTGAGAACAATTGGCAGTTGCAAAAGTGCCATTTTCGTTTCTTGATGCAAATCTGACTGTCATTGCTAAGAGAGGCTCTAGGAGCAGCTGGAACTGCAACTGCTGTAAATCTAAAATATAATTTTTGCTGTAACTCCTGGTATTTTTTCTTTTTACACATTAGTAACAAAACCAAAAACATAAGTACAAAAACATTAGTATAATTTTATTTTTGTCAAGGATAAGATAGTTGACTGTGCTTAGATGAGTGAAAAATGTCACCTACAAAAAACCCCTTGCGGCCTGTGTTGTCTTGCTAGTATTTCTGGTTGCCCAATTTAACTGATACTGTGTTGTTATTCTTTGTATTAGAGATTTGCTGCTATTTTAGCTTCTTCTTAGTGTATCTAGGGCAATTTCTATTGTTTCTTATTTCTAAAAGGAGAAAAAATTAATTGGTCGTTATCTGAAGGAAATCAGTCTTTTTTTCCCGATGATGGGGTTGACAATAGATTTGTTACTGTAGCTTTCAAAAATGTGGGGGGTTTTGGAAGTTTTCTTATTGTTTTACATTTTTTCCATATTTTTATCAGAACTAATTATCTCAAATGGCTTATTATGTTGTATGGGCAATAAGAGCAAGAGACTATGATTCTGTGGTATTTGGTGTGAAATGCTTACTGTAAAGGAGATTCCTCCTTGACATCTTACTGGTTTTTGTTATGTAAATACTTCGGGAACTGCGTGTCAGAAAGGGTTATGGAGATGCTGAGATTGACAAATAGTGGATGCCTAAGGAAGACTCTTTTAGCAAGGCACCAACAATTAATACTTCAGAGATGTCTGTCTCTTGAGTGATTTGTTCTCTTAGTTTATCTGGGTAGTCAAAAAATGCAGTGAGAAAGCTTCTTCTCAAGAAGAAGTTTATTTTAAATAGTGGAGTTTTTGCTAATGGGTGTTCATTGGCAATAATAGTCACATAATTTTTTTTTCCTGATTCTGATCATTTTTTGTAGTTATTTGCTGCCAGGATTGTATTCTGTTGCTGCACAATTTCACACAACCTTCTTTTTGATTTAGATGACAATCACAACTTCCTTACAATGGCAGAATGTCAGTATATCATCAAACACGAACTTGAGAATTTGAGAGCTAAAAATGAAAAAATGATCCCTGGATATCCTCAGGCCAAGCTGTACCCAGGAAAATCAATTGGTAAGCAATGTAGTTTGTTGCCTGTAACTCACTGTGTTGATGTAGGATAGTGTTCATTGTGAAAAAAAATTAATTTTCCTGTAATGAAGAGAAATCATTTGGACACTGAAGTCCCACTATTTTAATCAGCTTTGTTTTCTCACTGCTTCAGAGTGATAGGACAAGAGGAAATGGATGTACAGTGCAACAAGAGAAACTCTGAATAGGTATCAAGGAAGTTTTTTTCACAATAGGGTAACCAAACATTGGAACAGGGAAGTAAAGAGGTTGTTGGTAACTCTGTCCTGGGAAACTTTTAGATCTTCACTGGAAAAGGCCCTGAGCAGCCTGATTTAAGCTAGGCCTACTTCAAGTAGGAAGTTGGGCCAGATTACTTTCAGTAGGCTTTCCATTCTGAGTTTTTGTGTGCGGCTGAGGCTCTGGCCTTATGTTCTTCTCAGTTGGATAGTTTTCACACATGTTGACATCATGCATTATTTTTAATTAGTACCAAAAATATTTATTTTTTTTTTTAAATTACATAATGGTATACTTAGATTGCCTCTGTGTAAAAGTACTGGAACAAGTAACAGTGCCCCAGAGTTACAAATTTCGTAATACGAAGGAAGTTTTATTTAATTTATTTGGTTTCATTGATCCTCCTCATTGCTTCCGAAGCTTTTCATGGGAGAAAGAAGCAATTAGAGCTAGTATTGTTTCTATGGAACTTGTTCATTGGCAGAGATGCTACACTTATCTTAATATTTGTATGTCCTTCTAATAACAGTATCTTTATTCATTAGTGTTGGTCATCAAAGAAAGAGTTCTATGCATATTAGCAGTTCAAAAAATGTAAATAAATGTAAATGTAAGATGAATTTACATTGGTAACTTTGTTATATAGTCAAAGTATATTTCTAGTTATGCCAAACAGATGCCTATGGGAAATGGTTAAATATTATCACACAGCTTCCAGTGCCTCCCCTCTCCTGTTTTTGAATTTATTTTCTTTTTTAATATGGGTGTAACTTCCAGAGCAGTTTGTTAATTTTTTATCCACACGTGTAGTATTGCTTTCCATAGCAAAGTTAAATAGAAATTGTGGAATATATAGTTTGTTTGCAATGAAGATGTGTTGTAATTTATGAATTAGTGTTAACTGATAATTCAAAAATGCTTTTAGTATCTTTCCAATTATTAATACAACAAAGGCTTTCCTCACAAAGCTACATAAGGCATTTCAGTTCTGATCTGTATCACTTTTTGTTATTGAAGCTGCAACTGATTATACTAAAAACTTATGGAATAGTTAATAGATGTAAAAAGGTTGCTGTTTCTCTTCCAGTGGACAGCACAGTCTTTGTAGGAATAAGTATAACTGCTCTCTATTATGAATAATTTTTTAACTAACATGCAGACAATTTATTTTTTTTTTATTTCAAGTCCTATATCTATTTCAAAGGAACTTTAGGCTTGCTAAGTACATAATGTAACCTGTATGCTTATGTCAACTTCATTGTCCTTTGAAGGTGTGCTAGGTACATTGTTGTGGTTTTTTTGTTCTTCTAGTGAGAAGGTTATTGACCAGTGGTATCCTAGTTCAGATTTTCCCACTGCATGATAGAGAAGAGTTGAAAAAGCTCCGTCACAGCTGGTATGGCCGAGTGAGGGTTGGCTATCAACCTTTAGGTATGTGGACACTTACTCTACTATAAATACAGTGCAGGGTTTCTTCTGGAGAAGTTTTCAATTTGTGTGAGAAGACCAAAGGTCTAACTTCCACTGCAGCATTTAGCTTCTATAAAAGTGAAATCCTGTATGGAAGGTAAGTATGGTACCAAGAAGTCTGTTGTTTTCACTAAGAGTTTACCTTTTTACATCCTGAATTACCCCTTGCAGTTCACCTCCTCAAACATTACCTTTCTGCCCAGGTTGTTTTGTTGGCCTTTATGAATCAAAGTCCCTTTTTTAAACCTACCTTTGTTCTTACTGATCTTGGAATCAACAGAGTGGCTTAGGCTCTGGTTAAAAAAGCACCTTCGTTTCCAAACTTGTTGACGTGCACAGTTGAGGTCCATTCACTGAATTCTCTTTTGGTTCTAAGATGGCTGTAGGATAATCTTTTGCTATAATGACTCTCAATACAAATGTTCTGGAGTGAAGCACTGGATGTCTCTTGATTTTCTTTCTCATAGCTTCAGGATTTCTGTCTATAGGCCTTTGGTTGTAGTTTTCAAGTTGGAGCTGGGGGGCAGTTCGAAGGCTCAACATCTGCACCATCTAATATCATTTTGAAATTAGACATTGCTCTTTTACCAATTGGACAAATTTTTTGTCTTTTAATGTTTCCTGTGTGACCACCTGAAATGGTTCTAGACTTGCAAAATTGGTGGCTCCGGAGTCTGCGGATTCAGTGTCTGTGAGCTTCCATGTAACAGCAGTCTGCAATCACAAATTCTCCCTACCCCTCAGTGAAGCAGTAATGGTCCAAACCAAGACCGTTTAGTCAAACTGACTCTTGACAAGCTCCTAAATGTCTGGAATTCCCAAAGCTATTTTGAGTGGTAGGCATGTCAAAAGTGTGTTTACAACAGTTTGTTTTAAATTCATTGTCTGTATGAAGACTGTATGTTGCCTGCCAGCATCACTTGCATATATTTTAGACACTGAATAATCTTTAAATGAAAACAGTTTTTAGTCTGTCAATGTGGAAAGTTAAGTTTTAAACTCTAAACCCGTGAACTTTACTTAAAAGTAAGAAAGTAAGCATTTGGGAGTTTGCCTGATTATAAATCTCTGGGTCTTGCAGTTGCTTGAGATTCTTTCCTGAGCTGCAGGACATTAAAGGTCTGGCTCGATAATACCTGCCTCCAGAGTATTGTCTTAGGAGTCTTATTGTCTGCTTGTCTTTTGTTTATATGAGAGAGCATTTTTTTGACTGACATTGAATACATAAAAAAATGTCAACGTAAATCCCAGGAACCTGTTAAGTATGTACTTATTTAAGACTTAAAGTGTTGCATGCTTGGAGTGTGAAATGATGCTAATGACCTACACTTGAATGTATTTGTTAATTAATTTGCAATTGAGAGGGATGTTGGAGTTTGATTCTTCTGTCTGTTTACCTTTCCTTCCTGCTTTCAGAGGCTTACCTGATGGGCAACTGTGAACTTCTGCTGTAGTGTTTAGTAAACCATGTGGGGCTTTGATGTGTTAGTCTGTTACAGAGGGTGTCAATTCAGAGGTCCTGATTCTATGGCTGTTTTGTTAAGCTGGTAAATACGTAGCAGTGGCATACAAACAGTGTTTTCAAGCAAGCAAAGGTGAAACAGATTTCGGCATTCAAAACTCTGCTAGGCACTTCTATATCTTATGTGGTGCTATTTCTAGATTGTGTTGAAAAATACTCCTTTATTTTTTGTTATTAGTAAGATAAGTGAGATCTTGTCTTCTTGGGAGTAATATATCTGTCATGAAATACATCCATTACTAGTGCACTTTTCATGTCTCTGTAACACCTGAGCAGACAGACTTAGTGAGTACAGCAAATGTGTATTTCATCTGTCAGTTGTCTACTGAAGAGAATATCTCAACCTGGATGTGCTGATATGTTTAAGATTAAAGATTTCAATATACCTTCCATCTGTTCCTTTAGTTTCTTGGGGGTTGTCAAAGCACAATTAGGCCTTTTTGGCCCTGAGCGAGCTGAAACAAAGTTGTTTCCCAAGAGTGCCTATGCCAGTGAGAATCTTCAGGAATTAAGTGTCACTTGCTGTTAAAGTTTGGTTTGTTTTATATCAAATGCCATCAATGCCATCCTAGCCATTCATTGGTCAGTTCTGTTACCAAGACGATACTGTTTTCAGTTTGGTTGGGGTTTCCCTTTTTTTTTTTTTTTTTCTTCCTCTGGATATCTGATTTTGATATAATAAGTATTGAGGTATTTGACTTCTTTACCATCTGAATGGTATGTTTCTGTGTATGTGTATATATATACAACATAAAAAGAAAATAATTCAGATAACCATCTGAGTTTTTGGAATAAGGGAGAAGGAGAAAAAAACCCCAATATAATATTCATTGTGTTATTTAGAAAAATAAATTCTGGCCAATGGAAAGTTCGCGTAAAGTCAAGTTTGTTATTGTACTGCTGTCTGTGTTTTGAGTGTAGTCTCAATTGATTCATTTCTCTCTGCAGATGACATACGCTGCTACTTTGGCGAGACCATTGCTCTCTACTTCGGCTTCTTGGAATACTTCACGTTTGCTTTGATTCCAATGGCTGTCATTGGGATTCCTTATTATGTGTTTGCATGGGAAGACTATGACAAATATGTGATGTTTGCCACATTCAATCTGCTCTGGTCCACTGTGATACTGGAAGTTTGGAAGCGGATTTGCGCCATCCTGACATACCGTTGGGGGACGCTGTTGATGAAGCGGCAGTTTGAAGAACCAAGGCCAGGCTTCCATGGTGTCCTGGGTATCAATCCTGTCACCGGGAGGGAGGAACCAGTGTACTCAAGTATTAAGAGACAGCTACGGATTTATCTGGTGTCCTTACCATTTGTGTGCCTTTGCCTCTACTTCTCGCTGTACGTGATGATGATTTACTTTGACTTGGAACAGTGGGCTCTGGATTATCACAATGAGAACGAGTCTAACTTCAGCAGCTTGATGCTGTATGTGCCCAGTATCATATATGCTGTTGTGATTGAAATTATGAACCGTATCTATCGGTATGCTGCTGAATTCTTAACATCATGGGGTAAGAAAGTTGTTTATTCTTCGTCCTTCAAGTTAGAATCCCAGATGCTTAGACTTTGTTTCTTTGTAGAATACATTACTGTGAGCTCCTGTTTAACAGAATGCTGGAGAAATTTCCTGAAGCAGTTTTTGGCTGTGGGGTAAAAGAGATAGCCATTTTAACTTCTTATATTTTGAGTGTTCTGAGATTGCAGTTTCATATTTGGGTTAATTTACTCTGAGTCTGACATGCCATCAGAAGGGGTGATCCTGCCTTCTTCCTCAGCTGCTCTCTCCCTTTGGTGCAGAAGTCCCCCTTCCCTTAATTAGCTCCTTGTTTTGCTGTATCAGCTGTAGTGGTGGCAAAAGGGACAAGATGAGAGCATGAGGAAGGAGCTCAGAGGTGGATGGGTGGCAGGAAGAACTGCCCTGGCAAGTTGCACCCAAAACCTGGGTTTGCTGAGTGTATCTTAGTCTCCTCATACATCTGTGCAGATGACAGAGGCACTGAGATAATGGAACCAAATCTAAAACCACCAACTAAATGTCGTATGAAAGTGTTTGTGTATGGTACTTATGTAACAAAGACTGAGATTTCATGTCCCTATCAAAATGTATTTCTCTGGGCACTTTCAAAAGAGGAGGAATGTTATAATAGATTGCCTTTTTCTTCCCCTTGTATGTGTGGCTTATTTAACAGATTGGGCCTTGTGTTTTGTAACCTAACATAAGGCTAGTGAAATGCTAGTGTTTATTTTCAATTTTAGCACTTCTGCAGACATGTGCAGTCACTTTCAGACAAAGTTAATAGATGAAGCTAATGGAGAGTTAACTGCTTTGTGTAGCTCCATATGGCATTAATTTGTAGGACAGAATCCAGATTACTAAAGCCAGAGACCCAGAAAATTAACAGAAGAAAGATAAAGCAAAAGGGAGATTGATGCAGAAGACAGAATAAAAAGAGGTGTTGAAGTGGGGCTTGGTTATGCATGCCAAATTGATTTGCTCAGCAAATTCAACCTGACAGCCACGATAGTAAAAGCAAGCAATTTCTTTATTTGTTTGAGACTGTTCAAGGCTTTTATTTAAGTAATGACTTATAAATTCATATCTGAGGTTCAGTTGACGGTTTTGTTTCATTGTTTTTACTACACTGCAGGAAAAAGCTTTTTTCCATAATACCCAGTTGTGTTGATCAGATAGACTAAAATGCCTTTTAAAGGCAACTCAAGGTTTTTTTTAATCCAGATATTTTTGGTTTTAAGCTGATGTTTCATATTCAGCAGAGACAGTATTTATGTAATTTGCTACACTGACAGCTTGTGCCTTTTCTGTTCTATCCAATATGTTTATGCTGCCATGCTTTGAACTGTCCTACCTTCTTTCCCACCTGGCATATTTTCAGATAATATCTGACTTACACAGCTAAACTGACAAAGCATGGGAAACAATCTGGGGTATTTTAAGCACACCTCTTGCAGCCATTTGTCATGAGAACTGATCATTTAGCGAAAGCTGAAAGTAAAAATTGCATTCAGTCACTTGAGTGCATTTTCCACATGTCAGGCCCCACTTCACACCCCTGTCAGAATAGAACTCTGCTGGTTTGTGCTGAGCAAGGTCCATAGGTGACGGGTGTCTCCTTTCAGCCTTGTTGACACAGCTCATGTTAGTGTGCTGCTTTCTCAGTTACTCCTTAGCCAGGCCTTTAAAGGTACAATCTGACAAAATAGCTGAAAGAAATCGGAAATCTCCCATTCACTTTCCTCTTCTCCCTGCTGGTAAAAAGCCTTCCTGAAACATCAACTTCTCACAGTTTATCTTGAATGAACTGAAAATCCTAATTCAGAATGAGTAATGCATCTATTGAACTTCACATACTCTGGTCTTGCTTTAGAGCATAGAGTCTGATCTAAATTTCTTGGAGATGGATAGGAGCATTTCTTTGAGCATTTACTGGTTTTGAATTAAATTTGGTATTGTTACTTTTCGCATTATATTCCCATTAGTCTTGCATTAGTTTTCAGCCAAAGAACAATCAATAGCTAGAAACATTTTGTTAAGTGTTAAGAATGATGGATGTTTTTTCTTTCTTTGCAGTAGAAAAAATACTGGAGTTGTAGACAAAAACATGTATGATAATATTGTACATCAGATTAGCTTCATAGATTAAGTGAGGTACTGGTACCTCACTTAAATATAAATTCTTTTTCCCATAAACTGTTGGAGGAACATAAACTATTAGATAAGTAATTTTTAGGTGGAGGAAAAGTCTCTTTATTCTTTGTATAACAATGTCTAGTGTATGATAAGAGCTTCTGCTGTTTACTGATCAATAATTTTTTTTCGTATTTTAGAAAATCACAGGCTGGAATCTTCGTATCAGAATCATTTAATTCTGAAGGTTTTAGTGGTAAGTATGTAGTATAAGCAGCTTTTAAGATTATTTAAAAAGACAACTTGTCATGTGTTTTGTTAATGCTTTCCTAGCATTACCTCACTGACCTACACTTTTGTTCAAGGCCAAATAGAAGCACAAATATCAGAGTAAACAAGACTTCTATTGTGGTTACAGTAACTGCTAAACTATTTTAGATGCCTCTTTTTATAGCAGAAGTTGGCTTTTTATTTGTATTGATTGTTCTTTCATTAGGATTCTCTCTATATATGTTTTCCTATTAATTGCTGTGATCTTGTCTTCAACAGGGAGCTATTCCATTTAGGTTTTGGAAGATTTTATGGTTAACCACATTTTTTTAAAAACTCGTGTATTAACTTTTATGTACTACCATTCAGACAACTGTTCAGAGGAGGTTGGAAATGTCCATCAGTCTGTTCCTGTGCAGTTTATAGTATATACTGATCTATTTACTTTGTGTCTCTGAACAACTAGCTTTTGTGTGTATGTTTATGTGTTTGGTTGCTCTTTCAGGTATATAGTCAGAGTGACACTGGTTCTAAGGAATTGTACTGTAAATCTTACATTTGCGTATAAGATGTTCAGTAAAAGCAGTTGCCAAGATTGGTTTAATTAATTTCCTTTTTGAAAAGATTGTTTAAGTCTCTTCCAGAGTTCCTTTTTTATTTCCTTCAGTGTGGTGGTTTTTTAGTGTGTGGTTTTGTTTTGTTTTGAGTTTTTTTGTTGACTTTTTTGTTAAATCATTTTTCTGACCTAAATTTTAAACATGGTAAAGAAAATTTGCAGTTTACATCTGCATGGAAGCTGTTTAGTCAAGATATCTGTTAAGTTAGATGATATTCTGCGGCTGAACTTTTGCTTGAGCACTGAAACTAAATATTTTTATTTGCAGTTCAACTTCTTAAATTGTTTTGCATCTCTCTTCTACATTGCCTTTGTGCTGTTTGATATGAAGCTTTTGAGGCAGGTGAGTTCCAAGAGCATCTTAAGAATGTTGATGAATCTAGGAAAATGAAGGATTGATTGAAACAGGACTTTAGTATTTAATTATTATTCTAAAACATTAGCTTGACAATTAATATATTTCATAAATATTTTCTTAGGAATCCATCTTCTGTATTTAAGTTCCCCTAGCACTGTTGCAGAATCATAATGGAATAGAGCAATTCTTTCCCTCTGTATAAATGAGGAACTGTTTTCAAATAAATTGATTATTCCCTTACACAGATGAGGCTGGGAAATTTTCATTTCCTCTTTATTTCCTTTTACATCAGAAAATTATTATCTCTGTGGTGTTCTTAGTGAGAGACTCTCGATGATGGGAGCATGATTAAGTTTATGGCTACAGTGAGGATCTGTAAATAAATAAAGGCAAAAATAATTTGTAGTTAGTATTTTAAATCAACTTTCTGTTGTTAATATCTTTCATGCACTCAAATGCATGAAAAATGGGGATAAGGAAAATATTTTTGCTCCAAACATAATGAGCAGTACAACAAGAACTTCAGCTCAAGATCTCTGTTCCTCTAAAGTGATCTCTAGCAAAACACTTGGCATATCTATACCAGACATAACATTTGTGATATTTCATCTACCTTCAGGTAAAAACAAGAAGAAAAAATGTAGAAAAAAAAAGATTTTTTTAACTCCATGATTGTCATTGGCATATGTTAAGTGTTACCTTTCATTGTACTTGGTGCACTGTGTCCAGGATACATCCAGATCCACAAAATATTTAGTCTTCTAACTCCTACTTTGTCCTTTTCAGTGTATAGCAAAGAACGGGAACTAGAGCATCTATACTTTTCATGTGCTGTTGCTAGGTTTGTTAGGCTGACCTTTTTCTGTCATAGTATAATAACTCACAGTGTTACTAGAACACACAGAATTGCAAATGGTCATACATTTATCACAGTTCTATTTATTTTTATTTCTTTTTTAAACTTAAGAGCTTGGCCACTTTGCTGATAACTTCGCAGATCCTCAATCAGTTTGCAGAATCCTTGCTTCCTTACTGGCTCCAAAAGAGGCATAACAAGAGGATGAAGAAACTCACTTGTTCTCAGAAAACTGATACAGACCTGTCATTAGCTGAACAAGTCAATATGGAGAAAGAAATGGGAACCTATTTGGTATGTTCTATCACTGTAAAAGAGTTAAAAGTTCTCTGGGCTGTAGTTGGCAGAAGCATCAGCCAGGGCAAATGAAAATATTTCTGGCTGTCTGGCCTGACAGCTTATTTCCAGCTTCATCAATTTTGCTGGTGGTATTGTCTGTGCAGCTACATGGTGCTCTGAATCAAGAAATGGATACAGTGCAGGATCCCTGTTACACCAGAATGAAGGAGAAAGAATGAACAACTGTATCTGGAGCTACGTAATCCTGTTTATCAGTGGAAAGAAGTATTTGTATAATATACCCTTAATCTCCAAGAGTAACCTGAAGGCTACCAGGATGAGTAGCCTGGCATAGGGAAGAGGGAGGTTGTTCTGGTTTGATTTTACAGTGATACTGGTTTAAACGATCAGTTAAACTAAAGCCTGAGAGAGAGTGTGCTCATGTGTGGATGGGGCCAGAAATGGAGAGAGCAGAAGAAACCAACTCTTCCAAACAATACTGCTGCTGGAACCTCTTGCTTCATGAAACCACAGCTTTTGCATTCACTGTCTTCCTGGTTCTGTTCCTGACCACCTCCTACCCAGTATAATTTTTAATTGTATTTAACACACTTGTTGCAATTCACTATTTGCAGTTCTAAAAGAATTGACAAAGTAGATATCAGCATGTATGTTAAGGCCTTAAAGACTGGCTGATAGCTTTCTTGATCAGGTGCTGCAAGCATAGTCACAAGAGTCTTAATACTGTATGATTTGCAGTACTTCTACAGAGTAAGAATTACATGTAGATAGTGTGCCTTTTATGTAAAAGGTAGAGATCAGCAGTTTGAAATTTGATATTAATACCGTATCACATTCCTCTCTTCCTGCATGAAGTGCCATGAAATGGGAAGAGGAGAAAGAGATAGCACCTTTACAATTGAAAAACTGTACAAGTGTTACTACTTGCTTTCCTATGTGAAGACTGGTATTTCCCATGTTTGATACGGAAGGAGATAGATTTAGACAGCATGTCTGTCTTGCCTTGGGGAACACAGCAGATATCCCTGAGTTATGTCTGAACTGATCAGCACAGTCCAGCACTGCACCTGCACAGCTCCAAACACTGTGTGTCAGCATCAGGCCTTGGTATGCCTGAGCAGATGAGCTCTGGCTCTTAGACCTGAGCTGACTTCTATTCTCAGCTGTCACATACAAAGCCAATGTGGTGTCTTTGAGTCACATTGCCCAGTGCTTCTTGTGCAGAGCTAGATCAAATGAATCTGCACCTGTTGTGCTGTTGTGCCCTGAATAGTTTTCTGCAGGGATCCAAGAGGTCAGTTGTAGAGTTAGGACTTTGCCTTGAACATGTGCACTGCTAGCCTCAGTTTCAGTTCAAGGTACTGTGTACTCAAGGCCTTAATTTTATTTTCAGTCTAAATGTTGTAATTGTTCTGTGCTTGAGAACACATAATATTAGACCACTGATTTGTTTGCAAGCAGTGAGCTGTCAGCAGGCAAGAATATTTCTAAAATTAAAGCTGTCACAAGGGGGAAGCATTTGACTATGTTTAGTACCTGAGGAGTTTAGCAGGCGTCTTGACAGAATTCTGTGTTTCAGGCTTTTGTCTTTTGTTTTCCTTCCTTTACATGCTCTTCAGCATTTAATTCTCTATTTTCTTTGTCCTTGTTCTTTCTCACTTTTCAAATCTCCAGGCCTTAACCCTATTTAAGATGCAAAAACACGCTGCAGTAATTTTTTAATTAATTTTTTAGAATTTCTGCTTCTCTCCTCTAGTTCATTTTCTCCCTGAATTTCTGAATTTTTGTTGGTTTTGTTTTCAAGATGCTGTAGTTCATGTGCTGATCTCACGGCTGACAGTGGCACAATTAGAAATGTCTTGAACATCATATCAGACTCCCTGTTTTCTAACACAAAGTTTCATAAATAAATACTTATTTTCTTTTCATACTCTGCTGTTCTAAAAGTCAGCAAGGAAATGTGAAGAAAGGTGTGAGGAAGCAGTGGGAATACTGTGCAGTTACTGTGCAGAAGGAGGGGCACAAAGGAAAGCAATGCTCTCTGACTGCAACAGTTGTCTGAGAAAGGGATAGCAGGAACAGATAATGTGGCTGCCACTCCAGTGAGGGATCCTGCACAAATGTCCCTAAGAAAGACACTAATAAAATTCAGTGTTTGTACAAAATGTCTCTGAGGAAAAATCTTAATGGCTTTAGAAGTCAGGTAGCTCTTCATGGTTTGGCCTGCAGGTCGGTTTGTCAGACCCAGCTAAACTGTGCAACTTAAAAATGACCTCAAATGAAAATGCAACTAATGAGCACCCAGTGTTGATTCCTGAGCTTGCAGGCTTCTACTACCTCTCTCTCTGTTTGCTAGGGAAAAAACAAGAGATGCTGAAAAAGGGTAGTCGGTTTAACAGCTATAATGGGCAAAAAATATTAGAGAACCATGTGTCTAAGCCAAAACCAATTTTATGTGGTTCCTGTAATAATCTCAGTTACTGTCAAGTTTTCAAGATTTAAATTTTGAGAGATAGGACAATATGTGGGTCTGTGTAAATATAAGATAGCTAGATCCCAGTTTAATTTGTTTGTGGTATTTCACCATCCTTTGTTCAGTGAATGCTTTTTATTTAAAAGTGGTTGTTTCAGTTCTTTCATAAATAATTGCTGCAGTAATAGAAGACTATTATTAATACTACAAAACCAGTATGCAAATATATGATAAACCTACATGTGAATACTTAATAAGCATGTAAGTACCCACATTCTTGGTTTAAAGATCAGGTGATTGATGTGTTGTGGATTTGTTGAAATAGGTTTTGTTTGTTTGCACTAGTTGTTCCTTTCAGATGTCAGTGCTGAATTGTGTCATTTCATCCTTCAAGTGGGCCACTAACTGATCTACTCATTTTGAAATAAATAAGCAGAAGTACGAGAAAAGAGTTGCCTATCTACCAAACCAGCCCTTCTGTTAGGTCTTTTATGGTCAGTCTGAAATACTAGGATTTCTATTGCCACAATGCTCTTAGGAGAATATTCTGACAGTTTAAATGCATGGTGTTGTTTTCCTATTCCCCACTGTTCCTTCTGTTACTGCTTCGCTGAGATAGTCAGGAACTTGAATTGGATGAATATATTCATACTTCATGTTATAAGGATAAGAAGTGTGACTTCCAGAAAATGCATTATGTAAAAGGAAAAACCTTGGCCTTCCCTTATAAGAAGTTTTGAGTAATCGAATAATTCCAAATTAACTAGATGAGAGTTTTTTAATTGTTGTTTTCTATCAGCAGTCATTCCCAAAAAACTGATTCGGGATGAGGAAATGTGTTTACAATTCTATTGTTATTATTGTGTTTCTTCATCTGTTTTTTGTAGGTTACAGTTGTTCTTATTTTTGCTCTGGTTTTCAGGGTACTTTTGATGATTACCTGGAGTTGTTCTTACAGTTTGGCTATGTGAGTCTTTTCTCATGTGTTTATCCACTGGCAGCTGTCTTTGCAGTGTTAAACAATATCACAGAGATCTACTCTGATGCCTTAAAGATGTGCAGAGTTTACAAGCGTCCATTTGCAGAACCCACAGCAAATATTGGTGTTTGGCAGGTAATTTTTGTGTCTTTTTTCTGTTCATTTGTTTTAAAAGAGGTTTCAGCAAATATATTTAAGCTGTGTGTTTGGCCCATGAACCACTTCAAATTTCAGTAGGTACTTTGTTCTCTTCAATGCCTTAGAATATTTTCTATCCAACTATACATCCAAGTGATTTTTTTTTGGTGGGGTTTTTGACCACATGTCTTTCAGTTGCCTTTGAAAAGAAAACAAATCTTTCTTTTAGTTCTTGTGTATGTATTGTACTCCTGTTGCAATGCAACATAGCAAAGCTTCCAGATACTGCCTGGTACTCTTTATAGCCCGCATATTTTAGAAATGGTAATATCTGATTTAATCTCAGAAGCATGGAGCTCAGCAAGGGTTTCAAAAAAATGGAAGAATAGATAAACCACATGCTTGGCTTGTGCCCTTGTGAGCACTGGTAGTCAAGGTGACTAATTTTAAAATAACCTGGATCTGTGAGCAGGAGCTGGAACTTTCTGCACAGCCTGAACACTGTAGTCTATCCAAACAATTTCATGCTGGTAGTACTGGGTTAAGGATTTTCTGTCCTCAGTTGTTTGCCCATGCAATCATGCCAGCACCAGCTATTTTGGAGCTTGTTGAGTGTGTTGCATCAGTGAACTTATCCTGACCAGAGTATTTTCTGGAAAGAAAGGAGGCAACTAAGTTTCATCCAGAGACTCCAGTGTTCTCTAATAGCAGTGGCTTGATAAGGGAGTGTGAAGTGTGTTGGGGGAACTTTCTAGGGGATGATCAATATTCTAGTTTTATTTAACAAGTTTTCTAGTGATATGTAAAGGAGACAAAGGGCACAATTAACTAATCAATTATTTATTTTGGAGGGGGTGTAAATATTATCAAGTGAAGCAAATGAGAGATGAGAAATGAAATCATAAAACCTCAAGTGAAACATACTGTAAAAACATGCAAACCAAGGATTCTGAGCAATGTTCACTAGACACATAGATATTGAGGTGGACTTATAAGTCTTTTCATAATATGTCATTAAAATGTGTGAATTATAATCTGATTGCATTTTAACATGGAATGAATTTTCTCAGTCCAAATCTATGCTGCTGACATCTTGATGGCATAGCTGCATTGACCAGTGGTGTGAGCACCAGAAAAATCAGGCTGTGGTCATAAGTCACAAGCATAGCTGCAGGTGTATGAATAGCATTTTGTTTGGCTAGAATAGTTTGTTTCAATCAAGAGAGTAGGCTGAAAAATTATAACAATACTGGTACAGTCTTTTATTTTTTATGGTGTCATTTTTTTAACTAATAGTAGAAATGCATTTGCTTTTTGAATTAAAAATAATAACTAAATTTCCAAGTTTTCTCTTTCATATGGGAAGTTAGAGTATTTGCTGAAAGATTTCTGTTAAAGGAATACTGCAATCATTTTACCAGGTGAGCTGAGTCACCAGCTTGTTTTCAAGGAGAAAGCTACTTTTGCTAATTCATTGTGACAGTTCCTACAATTCAATGTCAGTCTTTCTCCTTCCAGACAGGACCTTGGAATAAGTAACCATTATATTGCAAATGCAATTGTTAAGCTGTATTAATATTTTCAGACATTTCGTGGGAGCTTTAGGAGTAGGCAAGAACTTCTTAGACTTGTGCTATTGCATGTGTTTAAATGTAAATCTTTCAATAAATTTCAGCTTGTGCAACTAGTTGTGATTTAGAAAAGTCATTCTACAAGTCATTCTAAACCATCCTTACCTTTTTCCATTACTTAACATTCAGATAAAACATCCAAAACCAGTGTTAAGAATATTAGTTCCTCTATGAACTTTGCAATTTTTTCTTTATCCTGAAATAAATTTGTTCAGGAGTACAACTGTAGATGAGTGCATACTCTTTTGTGTGTTCAGGTTACAACTTTGTTGTGGTTTTGTCTTTGCCTGTCAAGCTGGTGAAGTCTGGACTGCTTGCCAAACAAGTCTTATGCCATAGAATTCAAAAGATGAAGGAAAATAAAAATTTAAGCTGGTGGGTCTTTTGAGGCTTTAATGAAGAGAGAGGTATTGTCCAGAGCAATCTGGGGACTGGTAAATTAGAGGCAATGGTCATAACTATAAATATATTTGTGTTTTATTTCAGTTGGCTTTTGAAACTATGAGTGTAATATCAGTTGTAACTAATTGTATGCTGATTGGAATGTCTCCACAAGTGGATGCACTTTTCCCAGACTCAAAAATGGACCTTGTTCTGACTGTGGCATTCATAGAGGTAAGTGTGCCTTCAAACAATGCATGTTTTGGCAAATAACACAAACACCAGTGAAAATGACAACAGGAAGTAGACTTTCCCTTGTACCGTATATTAAAAGGAAATGAAGATTTCCCTATCAAAGAAGAGTTTCAAAGTCTTGCTTTTTGAGTTCTTTCTTTTCCGTGTTTTTCTGTACTGTGAATGCTGTTGCCATACTTTCCCATGCATTCCCAAGATACTGTTTATTTGTGGCTTCATGTATTTCAGGTATTTAGTAGTACTATTTCAAGAAGCAAAATGATCAGATTTTTGTGAACTGGTTATTTCTCTGCTTGGTTTGTGACCCCAGCATATCTTAAAAAAGACTTTGTACATAATCTTTATGGGATGTATCCTGTAAGGCTTATGTGAAACAACTGTGGATGATGACTGTAAATATTGGTAATTGTAACAGAATTTGGGTTTAATTTTTTCCTAATTCTGTATAGTAAGCACTTGAGTGTCATTCTTTTTCAGACATGGAGGGATGTCTGTGGACATTTTACATAATAACTGAGATTGCAGGACTTTGCCCTTATATATCTTCCCTTTGGAGTTTTCTTGTGTACATTGCCTTGACTTTCATCATTATGCTGTTTTAGCCTTTAGGAACTGGATTACTTTCCTTGTGGCAATAGGTCTGGATTGTGTCTGTGTAGTTATTAAAGTGCGTCGCCTCACCGAGGTGCATCAGGAGCACATATTTCTTTGTTGTTCTTTTTACAGATGTTAAATGTTATGCAATGAATTATGAGCTTGCTTTGAATTTTATTTTCCAAGCCGTAAGGTTTGCAGAGTTAGCTCCAAATATGAATCATGTCAGCTAGTTTGCTGAAGTTAGGGTCTACAGGCAGCCCAATTGAATTGCTCTTCAATTATGCACGTGTGAATGTTTACATTAATCTCAGTGAGATATTGTAATATAAAACTAATTTGGTAAAATAATTCTAATTATATAGTTTATTACTGGACAACATATCTAGAGAGATCATATTATGAAAACTGTATGACTAACTGTAAGCAGGATGGATTTATGGCAGCTTAAAGAGATGGAGCTGCTTTTGCTTTTGCTTGCTGTGTATTCCCCTCTTATCTGTTTGAATGTGAAGCTGGCTGGGTGATCTCTGGGCTGACCTCTGTTTCCTGGTAGGTCACAGGAGAATATCAGCGTTTTTCTCTCTAAATTTAAATTCTGTGTATATGCGGCCCTTAGGGGACAGAAATTGCAGCATGGTAATTAGGTAGCTCTGGAATTACTTTTTAACATTGTATCTCAAAACAGCTATAAACATGGTGGAAAGGGGGATTCAGAAAACAAAGGGAAGAAAGTTTGGAGAGAAAAGATAAATTAGTACTGAGGGGAAGAGAAGGGAAAAATGTTGTCTTATACAGAGAAGCAACTGTGTTGAAGACCACCAATCTATAATTAACATTGTATGAAGGGACTATTAGAGGCTAATGCTGGATGAGCTAGAGGAGAGGAAAGGTAACCATTTGGTTAAAGAAAAGTTTTCTCTTCTTCTCCTTTTTAATTAAAAAAAACCACCAAAACCAACACCAACAAAGCAAGTCATAATGCACTGGTCAGAAAAGGTCTATTTAAAAAACAGTTTTAATCAGAAGTATCCAGTATGCTTGATAATATTAAGTATGCTAGTTTGAGGGTTTTTTTGTGGCTGTTTTTCTGTTATTACAAACTATTTATTGTCTGAGAAAACACAAAGATACAAAACCAACATATGAGTCTTACAGTATGTTTCTGCAGCATAACGAGCCATTTGATTTTTTTGGAATGTTGTTGGTTATAAACAGTTCCAAAACTATTCCATGTGAAATGTAAGACTTTTGCAATCTCTGTAAGGACACTCTTTCAGTACCTTTTAAACAATATTTATCAACTTCATGGGTGTGGGGTTTTTTGTTGTTCTTTGTTTGTTTTGTTTGTTTTAATATCTAAAGACATAGAGACTAGCTCAGGTTCTCCAATCTTGCAAAAAGTTTTGTAGCACAAATTATGAACTTTCTGGAGTCCAAAAGCGTTCTCCAAAATGAAACACATTTTATACAGAAATTTTATTTTAAAAACTGTATGAAAATGAACACAGCAAACGTTAAGTTTTGCTTCTGTTGAAGCTGTTTTCAATTGTGTTGGCAGTTAAACATATCCTCAGTTACAGAAATGTTTTTTTATCAGAGGTTCTGCTGTACATATTTCAGGTTAAAACATTGATTACTAAATGTTGAAAGAAGGGAGTGGTACTAGATGCTGTGGGACTATGAACAGCAGCAGTACAGATTTATGGCAGCTTAAAGAGATGAGGCTGTTTTTGCTTTTGCTTCCTGTATATTTATTCCCGTCTTATCTGTTACACTGGGACTTTCTTTTATCTGGTGCATAATGACCCACATTAGGGAATTGATCTGGGAGAAGCTGTCTGACCCAGTTCACTAGGGAGCAGGGCAGAAGCAACTGTGTGTGGAAGACACGCAGTAGTGCTATGGCAGGTTTGTGCTGGATTAATTTGTGGGATGTCTGCACCACTGACCCTTTCTCCTTTAAGTACTATTTAACCTACAGGAAGATCTCTGAACCATGAAAGGAGCACAAATGTCATGTATTACCAGTATTCCCATGCACCTTTACTATATTTATTAATAATTAAACTCTGCATTTCAGTGGTAAAGAAAAATTCAGGAACAGAATATATCACATTAAACCTCTAGGACAAACCTGGTGCATCTAAATTACATCAATGTCAAGGTAGGAAAAAATTTGGATGTATCAGGGTGTTGATAGGAAAGTGTTTTAGATCACCTAGCAGAGATTCAGAAACATGATTCAGGTGAGTTATTTTATTTTCCGGTGTTTGCTGCAGGTCAAGGTGAGCATTTTACAGTGTGTTTATGCTATTTTGACAGCAGCTTGGCAGGCAGTTTGGAAATGTTAAGAAAGAAATTTCTTTGAGTTGGCTAAGTATGTTTTCATGTGTTCTTTTGATGGGGTAGCCTACTTAAATCTTAGCTGTCTAAGTATTTTAATCAGTTTTAAGTAATTGAGACTCCAGTTGAATATTCATGTTATCTGTTTGATGCAAAGCTAAACAGAAAAGCAGTGTTGCTGTCAAAACCAAGCATAGATATTAGCAATGTCCTGTTTTGCTTTGTTGTTTGTTTTGGTTGTTGTTTTTTTTTTTAAATGCTAGTACTTTTTAATAATAATACTCCTCAAATGGAAACTGTATATGGCAACATTTAACACCATCCACTACTGGAGTAATGAAGAACTGTGGTTGATATTCTTGTAAGTATTCTATACCCAGCCCCTACAGATTTATGCAAAATATTTTTATTTTCATTAACAACTCTAACTCTACAGCTGCCTACATTTTTGGTGGGAATATGTATTGTGTGAGTGAAGTAAATGCTAATTAGAATAGCATAGAATAAAATATTACCAATTGCAAAATAATGGCAAGCATTAAAATCACGTATAATAAAATTTTTTGAAGTATTAAACCAGTGATTTTTTTTGAACAGTTGACCTATTTTCATCAATTCAACATCTGCTTCCATGGCAACATGATTTGAACCAGGAGCAGAACGATGAAACTCCCCTCTTTTACGTATGGATGGATGCTAACTGAGTGCAGCCAGTGCAGTTTTCAAACAAAAAGAAGTAAACAAATGTCCTTAAAACATGAAACAATAAATCCTTATTAACACAATTTTAAAATAGTTTATCCCGTAGTGTGTTTACTTATTCAGGCTTTACTGTACACACGTAATTCTGGTGTGTACCGCAGGTGCAAAGTAGGACATTCCAAGCACGCGTCTGTGCTCGTGTGAAACTGTTCCCAATCACTTCTGACTTCCTACACTGATTGGAACCAAAAAAAAAAAAAGAAAATTGCTCTGAAGAAATTCGGTGGATAGTTGGGGGAGTGGGTTAAAACAAGGTCTAACCTTAATTCTGCAGTGCTTTTTTTATTTTTCTCTGAAAACTGTTGACAAAGAGTTTTGTTCCTGGTGACTGTTTCTTTTTAAAGTAGACTCTCATAAATTCAAAGAATGGTAATTAAGTCAGTTCCAGGACTACTATGAAAGTTGAGTTCAAGAAATCAGTTGTATGTGCAACTCTTAGTAGTGATTTTTGTTTATAACAGTACATCAGTAGGAACGTTTTGAACCAGTAGCTGTAAAATACAGCTTAACATGAGTGTATCCTGGTTTCCAAAAGTAACTCATGTATCCAGCACTCAAATGTGGTAAACTAATGTGAAGCTTTTTTGCAGAAGTGCATTTAGCCTAAATGTTCTAGGTCACATCGAGGCATTTGGAGATTAGCTTGGAAATAATAAGTAATAATGGAGGTCTCTCTTGATAACAGTAGTATAAAATCTGACCTTACAGACTACAAATATGGTTTTGGGAAGAATGTAGTCAGCTATGGTATAGATGGGCCCTTCATGTAAGGATATGACTGGTTTATTTGTAATAAACATGGCTTAAACAATTGGGCTGCATCGATTTAATTTCATAGAGTTCTCATAAGGATTTGAAATTAGATCTTCATGAACATCATAAAAAAACCTATATCGAAAAGTCGTTTCTGTAAGAAGTATGGAGTGGAATAAGGGAAGTAACCCTTGTTTTTTCTAGGTGAGGAGGAGCTGACAGTCCATTTATCAAAGGCTGGAAAGTGAGATTCGTAGCTTGTTAATAAAGCTGATCCAAAATCAAAGTGGTTGAAAGTTGTCTGGTACATCTGCTTTTCTCTAGAGGTCCATTTTATTAAGCGTATTTCTTCATCAAAAGCTGTGTGGTGTACAATAGAAACTGAGCTTCTGCTGAGCACTCGGTGTAATGGCCCCAACATTCAATCAGTTCAACAGTAAGCTTGACAGTTGTTTCTGAGATGATGTGCCAAATAAACTGGGAAACACTATCAGAGTCAAGCAGTTTGGAGTCTAGTAGGTGAC